TGGGTCCAACTTTCTTTTCTCTCTTTAACACCTCTAAATCCCTACTATGCTGTCCTACTAAACTTAGCTGTCAACTTGACACAGCCTAGAATCATCTGAGGAAGTCTTGAATGAGGGACTGTCCAGATCAGACTGATCTGTGGTCATGTTTGTGAGGGATTATCTTGGTTAATGATTAATGTAGGTGGACCCAGCCCACTACGGGTGACACCATCCCTAGGTAGGTAGGCCTTGGCTATATAAGAAAGCTTATCAAGCATGAGCCTATAAGCAAACCAGAGAGCGAACCAGGAAGCAGTGCTCCTCTGTGGGTGCCACTTCAAGTTCCTGCTTAAGTTGCTGTCTTGACTTCTCTCAATGATCGATTGTGATCTGGAAGTGTAAGCCAAATAAACCCTTTCCTCCCCTAAGTTCTCCAGAGTGGTTTATCACAGCAACAGAAAACAAGCTAGAGTACATGCCAATAAGCCTCCAGAGGGTGTTCAAATATACCCAATGGCTATTGGATGCCAAATATGTTCCAAAGGCATCCACAGAGTCTCTCATTTAATCCTAACCAGAATCCTATGAGGCAAGACTTTTAACCCTATTTCAAAGGTGAAAGCAGAGATCTAAAATGTTAGGTAACTTTCCCAAATTATCAGTTTGGGATTGAAGGAACAGATGAGCCTTGAGATAAAGCTCTTTGTCCTGCAGTCTCCTGCCTTCCACACTACACACAAACTTTTGCTCACTTGTATAGGTATTATCTCAGGAGCTTTTGAATGTACATCAGTGCTAAGTGCTGGGCCTGCATATTCTCATGATCTTTACAACCTCAGGGATGATTATAGCAATGATGTCATCACTCCCAGGTTACAGATAAGAAAACTGACCAGGGACCAGGACTTATACATGGACTATATCACTGTGATGGTTTGAATGAGTGTCCCTCATAGGCTCCAAGTATTTGAACATTTGTCCCCAGTTGGTGGCACTGTTTTGGAGGTTTGAGGAGGTGCAGACGTGCTGGAGGAAGCATGTCACTGGAGGTGGGCTTTCAGAGTTTTTAAGTCTTTCCAGATTTCCAGTTTCCTTCTGCTTCCTCTGCCTGCTTAAAGATGTAATTGCTCAGTTTTCTACCCTGGCCACCTCTGCTGCCAAGCCTCCCCCGCCATTATGGACTCTAACCCTCTGAAATAAACTCTTCCTTCTGTAAGTTGCCTTTGGTCATGGTGTTTTATCACAGCAACAGAGAAGGAACTAATACAGAAGTTGGTACCAGAGAGTGGGCTATTGATGTTAAGAACCTGATCACATGGTTGTTTAAAGGAATGCAGAAGAGTTTGGAAGTCTGAACTAGAAACGTGGTTGAATGTTGTAAGCAGAGGTTAACAGGCCATTCTAGTAGAAGCCTGGAAGACAGTAGTACTGACAGCAACGTAGTTCCAGAGGGAAACGAAGACTTGAACAACAACTGTGATGTTTGGCAAAGCATCTGGCTGCTATCTGTCTCCAGCCTAAGAGCTTGCCTGAGGTTAAGTTGAAAAGTAATTGACTAATTTCTTTGGTAGAGGAAATATCAAGACAGCCTAACTCAATGGGTGGCATAGTTATTAATGGTGAACACTACGGAGATTTACAATGAAAAAGAGCAAGTGGGGCAGAAAGAAATGCAGCATGTATAGTTTGGGTTGAAAAAGGCTAAGGAGAAAAACTGTCATGGACAAAAGCTGCTAATGAGAGTGAAGCAGGCCAGGGTCCTTCCCAGGCTGGAGGCTGAACTTGGCACATGGTGCTGCCTTTAGAGGCATGAAAGATGCAAGAGTGAAGGGGTCATTGGTTCTTCCTCCGTGGTTTCAGAGAGCTGTTGAGGTCAGGCAGTGTGCAACAAAGGGTGTCCCTGCACAAAGAAGGCCCTGGCAGGCCATCACATGAGGTGGTGAAGGTGAAGCCTGGTTGGCAGTGGAGACCCCGAGAAGACATTCGTGATGCTAGAGCTGTGAGACCTCTACCAAGGAGAGCTGTATACAGGGAGTGGTACCAGCCCGAGAGAGACGTGCATGTTGCACGCAGCAAAGCTGGAGGGGCTGAGCCATCTATTTGTGATTTGTGATTTTTGATTTTACAGGGGCTTACAGTAAGGAGATTGTTTTGAGTCTCAGAAGAGATTTTGAATAGTATTGAGCTGGTAAAGACTATGGAGACTTTTGAAGGTGGACTAAATGCATTCTGTATTTTATATTGTCATGAGCCTATGGGGGCCAGGGAGTGGAATGTGGTAGTTTGAATGAGAATGTCCCCCATAGGCTCCAAACACCTGGCATTTCATCTCCAGTTAGTGGTGCTGTTTTGGGAGGTTTTAGGAGGTGTAGTCTTGCTGAAGAAAGCATGTCACTGGGGGGCAGGCTTTGAGAGCTCTTAAGCCTTACAGGATTTCCAGTTTCTCTGCTTCCTGTGCCTGCTTGTGATTGTTCGGCTTTCTGCTCCAGCCACCTTCTGCTACCATGCCTCCCCAACCATTATGGACTGTTATCCCTTTGGAACCATAAGCCAAATAAACTCTTCCTTCTATAAGTTCACTTGGTTATGGTGTCTTATCATAACAACAGAAAAGTAACTTAGTACAATACAACCACGTGTGTGTGTGTGTGTGTGTGTGTGTGTGTACACATATGTGTGTAGGCCAGAAGTCTCAGGTCCCCATGCTTGCACAGAAAGCACTTTACTGACTGAACCATCTCCTCAGCCCTGATGCTACCTTTGCTACCTTTCTTTTTTTTAAAATTTTTATTTTTTGTCTTTTTGAAGCAGGGTCTCCCTGTAGCCCCAGCTGTCCTGGAACTCACTATGTAGACCAGGCTGGCCTTGAACTCACAGAGATCCACCTGCCTCTGCCTCCCAAGTGCTGGGACTACAGGCGTGCGCCCCCACGGCCGGCTTCTGATGCTACCTTTTATAAAGTATTATAAAGTCTGTTCAATTTCTTTGGCGGCCACTGGCTACTAATCTTGACTCAGAGTGCCTTGGTGATACATGGAGGACATGATTAGGAAGTGCAGATGTGACAGAGAATCAGTGATGCTTGGATAGTTGGGAAGCTGGGTTTACATGGTATTTACTCACTTGAGTACAGACATGCTGCCCAGGGGCTAGAGGACCATCTACGCCATTACTCAACACTCCCAAGGAGCATGAGGTTCTATTTCCATTGTAAGTGGTACAGAGTGGGAGATATGGCCAGTGACTTACTGATGGGTTGTGTGGGCAGTGGGGCTTGGGCAACCCAATAGTGAGAAGCCAAAGAGAGAGGAGAAGCTTAAGGGTAACTCTGGGACACTGGCATAGGTCAGGCCTTCATGTGGCCGAAGCAAGTAACTGACAGATTTGAGTTGGAAGGGCTGGTCTCTGGTTTCTTCAAGGTCGTTTTGTCTTTACCAACTACTGATCATGGGCAGCAAGTTCTCTGTCTTTGTGTCCTTGAGATTTAGAGAACTTTCTCAAAGCTCAATTGGAGCCTTTGGCAAGAGATCATTAGCCAGTGAAACTACTGAATTATGTACCCACCATTTCCTAATGAACAGCGGGACTCACAGGGCAAGACACCTACCTCACAGGGCAAAGCACCTATCTCCATTAGTCACACCCAACAAGAATCATTCCCGGATAGTCACAGCATACACAACCCACTTACTTCTGGGCTTCTAGATGCTGTTCTGTGACCCTCTACCTATCTGAGTTCTTTCTCCTTAAGGTTTTACTCAATCTTTATTTATTCATGGCCAATAACGATCTTTATGGAAAACTAGCTGTATGCCCGGTGCTGCTCTTAGTACTGTGCAGACTCCAACTAACTTTGTCCTTAGAGCATTCCCAAGGCATCTCATCCACAGGTCATACAGACACGTCAGGTAGCTGAAGAGACCGAACGAGTCAATCAAGTGTTCTTCTGAATTGAGTCCACAAGACACAAAGGGCACTGGAGAAAGGGGAACCCCGTGGCCATTGTGTAAATTGAAGAGGAAGCCACTCAGCCAAGGTGAGAGCTGGGCACATAAAATGGCCAGGCAGAGGAGAGCTGCACATCTCTGAGACAAACCTTGGGGCTTCACATCCATTCACCTCCTGGTTTTCAAAATTATAAATACAAATTTGCATGGATTGTCTCCATAACTTCCTCTTACTGCACTTAAGATTAAAATCACAGTATCTTATGAGTATCCAGCATTCTACAGTCTCTAATCTGATCTTCTAATTCTTTTTCATGCTTAGCCATGCTTGTCTTCGGTTAGGTTCTAGGATATACAAGTCACCCTTCCCTACCATAGGGCCTTTGCACTTGCCAGAAATCTCTTCTCTAGGAAACTGCTGTGCTTGCCTCCTTCACTTGCCTTTGAGGCCTCTGGAGATGTCCTCGCCTCAGAAAGCCTCCCCCAAATGACATTCCCTAAAGAAGACCCATAGTCTGGCATGGTGTTTATTTCAGCCCCTTGAAGCTTGTGTTGCAGTTATGGTTTTACTTAATTATTTATTGATGTCTCTACTACTTGCCCTGGGTCACACACTACAAGCTTACAACTAAGCAAAGATTCTGTCTTAACTTGTCTGCTGTGGAGCCTGGATAGGAATTTGTTTTAAAAGCTCTATTTGTCTAGGGCCAAGGTTGAGAACTAGCCCAGCAGACTATGAGTTAGCAAGGCCCAGTGCTGCTGGGAAATGCTCAGTAAACAACTATCCCACCGGGATATGAATGAGGAAAAGACCACCGTGGCTCCCTTCTGTGGTCTCGTCAGTAGGCGTCACTGTGAATGAATCCACCCACCTTGTTTATCCCCAACTAACATCAGCAATAAAGAGGGCAGCACCCAGTCTGCATCACTGGGGAGGGGAAGGGAACCAAGGCCAAACTTACCAGACTTCTGTATTCCAAAACAATGGAACCATCTCTCATTCTCTATTGGTCTATGGGGCAAGGAGCATCAGTATGGGGACCATGTGGTGGGCAGGGCCATTGGCCATACCTGTCCATGGAAAGCTGAGCGACCAGGGTGACGTCCGTGTTGTCAGCGGCAGGCTCGTACTCGTAGTGCAGGAAGTACAGATGGGTTCGGTGGACAGTGAACCGCTCTCGCCGGAACTCGTAACACAGGTCATCCTCATCCAGTTCCGACAGCTGCTTCTGAAGCTTAAAAGAAAGAAGGGGGCTTGGGGACAGGAGGCAAGGCTGCAAGAGGCTCCAGAAGCCTGCCTGCTGTCCTCCGTCCTCCCCGAACTTATTAGCTGTTGCAGTGGTGTTGATGGTTCAACAGAGAGAGGATTCCCAACTTACTTTCCCAGCAATTTTATCTACCTTCAAAAGGTGATCCCAAAGGAAGCTGCCTTCCCCATCCCTGAGATGAGCCCCCGTGTAGCTAAGGACGGTAATGCTCACTGACAAGTGTAGAGGCCACACAAAGCCCTACAAACAAAACAGAGGGTTGTCCTAGGCAGAAGGATAACTTCTAATCAGAAGAACAACTTCTAATAACTCTGGGAAGATATTTGTGGATGAGAACATCCAGAATGGGAAGGAACTCTGTGTGATCTGATGCTTTTCTCTTCCTGGGGCTACAGACTTCAGGGTTCATGCCAGGTACTGGAGAGAAAAACCAAACATATTATCAACACAGAACTCTTGCATGTTAAATTTTACCTAAATTTAATCTGAGTCAAGACAACCTCTTTCTCTGCTGTGCTCTTCTAACTCTGAAAGTCTGTCTTCATTAGTGGAAATGTCTTCAACTAGTTCTGTTTCCTCTTCCTCATCTGGTGAAAAAAGAAGGCTAACCTGCTAGCAAGGAGCTGGTGTGGGACACCTGCAAATGAGGGTAAGTGGATCTGTAGTTCTACAGGTGCCCAACCTACCACACCCCTTCACTTATAGACCTCATGATATCTCTACCATGCAAATGGCCTGCTTTAACAGACAAACAATAGAAATTACAAAGCACAACCACCCGGCAAAACACTAACTACAGTGATGGAACTGGATCAGTAGATGCGGGTGTGGATGGGGTGAGAAGCCTAGGAAAGGACAAAAGAGCTTTCTGGGTAATGGAAATGACTTCCATCATAGCTTGATGTGTGATAGTCACTTGGGTGCACATACTTGTGAACACCCAGACTGGCAAGCATAACTTTGGACAGAGAAGACTTACTATATGCACTTTGCATTTCAATAAAATCGACCCTTAAAAAACAATAATTTCCCAAGGGTCATAGCTGGCTGATATTTTTTCTGTAACATTAGGCCCGTATATCATGTGGCATCATAAATCTGAATATAAATTAAAATTTACATGGTTACATTTACCAACCTGCCTGAAAGAAACAGACGGGTTTTCCAAAAAGGTATATCTTTAAGAATTTCAAAACTGATGGCATAGTTCACAAGAGAGCACATTAACTTGCTTCTTTCTGAGCAGCCCTCTATCAGCTAGGGCCATTGTCTTGATCCATTGTGCCACTGTATTATTTCTCACGAGGTTTGCAGTGGTATGTGTGCATAGATGGCTTTGATTCTTCACTCCTCTCCCCGGAACATCCTCACTCTGAGCAGTGGTGCTTGCTAAAGAGTGAGGCTATCTCCTTATCTGCAGAATCTAGGCTGGACTTGGGATGAGCTTTTGCTAATAGAATTCAGTGGAAGCAACTTCTTCCCTTCCTGAAGCAAGACATCAAGAGACAATGTGTGGCTCTTATACCTCTGCCACAGCCTGGAGCCACAGCCCAGGCTAGCCTGTGGGAGCAGACAGACACCTGGGGCAGGTACATATTTCTCAGTTGTCTACATCGCATGAGCAAACCCAGCCAAGATCAGTTGTGTTGCTCCAACAAGCACTCCTTATAGGTCATTGAGGTTTTACAGGTTCCAGATGATAGGCAACAAATATCACTGGAATTTTGTGGAGGGCACTTTTTTCATTATGTGGCCTGTCTGAAAAAATCTAAGGGCAGCTCAGCTCCTGAGCCCCTGCTCGGCAAGTGCTCAGATTCTTCAGATGGCTCTGGACAGCCCTAGATGCAGCCACACATTTCCAAATGCCCACTAGGAAATCAGCTGAGCCACAGGGGCTTGACATTTCTGATCATTTAGCTAATAGAAGGCCAGGAGGTGGAATTCTCCCTCATCTATAAGTCTATGAACCACAGACACCTTTTGACATGCAGAATTGGATCGAGATACCCCTGGCGACTACCACAGAATGCTCTCTGACCTGTCACCTCACAGGTTCCACATTTTCCAATGATGTTTCCTATGGTACCCAGACTTGCTTTTCCCTCCACATCTCTGTGACTTTCTTTGGGGTCACACCGTTCCCTCCCTGCAAAGCCCTCCCTTGCCCCACTCTTCACCCTCTATTTAACTTTCAAGATTCAGCCTAGATGTTCTTTTTCTGTGAGACTGTTGCTGGCCCTCCCAAGGGGGAGACTGTTGCTGGTCTGTTTCTTCTCTGGACTCCAAGAGGACTCACTCCCTAACTACATTAAGCACTCATCAATTTGAACTGCAATTATTTAAGGACATCTTCCCTTACAAGATGGTAAGACTGAACTGTGCATGAAAAATATTTGCTGTGCACAAGGTGACTTCCATCACTGTGAAGTCTCACCCTTCCAATTTTCCTTTGTTTCCTCTAACTGTATTCACAGAAGGTAATCAATAAGTCGTTTGTGAGACCCATTATTTGCACCAATATTTGCCTTTAAGGGTCTGTGATGGTTTTAGAGAGCAGATAGGGATTCACCAGGCTCTGCGCAGGTGCCAGAATGTGTGTTCTCATCCTCTTCAGAGCACTCCGAGGAGACCCTCATAAACCTCATCTGACAGCTGAGAAAGAAGCCTCAAATTCCCGAGGACTCTTGGGGAAGCCACATCTGAGTCTGTGTGCCCATCACCATGCTGGCTTTCTGGGGAAAACACTCAGCTGGTCTCAGGGAAGGATTCTGACGGTGTGGGGACCAAGGTTCCATCCTTCCTCTGAGGTGAGTGGGTGGCTTAGTAAACTTCCTGAACTCCGACTTCATCAAGTGTAGAAGGGGAGCATTGATGGGGACTACAGGGGACTATAAGAGATACTGCACACACAGAGTGCGGGGTGTGTTCAGCATCACCTGTTGAGACCGTTAGGAAAGGAGTCAACCCTCTAAGACACAAGGCAAGAGTCAGGGGACCGGGGTTAGATGAGCCAGGGTGTCTGTGCTCCTGATTCTTTGCGTGTGTGTGCATGTTTGTGTATGTATGCATGTGCGTATGTTCATGTGGAGGACAGAGGTCAACCTTGGGTCTTGTTCTTTAGGAGCAGGCAGTCCACCTTGTCTTTTGAGATACATCTCTCACTGGGACCTGGTGCTTGCTGGTTTGCCTAGGCTGACTGGCTGGCCATTGAGCTTCAGGGATCTGCCTGACTATGCCTCCCCAGCACTGGATTACAAGTGTATGCCACTGTGTCTGGCGTTCTGTGTGGCTGATAGGGATCAAACTCAGGTCTTCGTGCTTGTGTGGCAAATACTCTCAGGCCTGAGCTATATCCCTAGCCTAGTCCTTCTAATTCTTAAATGACAACAGAATTGCTAACTGAGGAGCTAGAATATGCCAGGAAACCATTAAGTTACTTCCTCTGAGGAAACTTTACCATCAATATCTTCCTCCCTTCCCACACACAGCAGAAAAGCAGAGAGAATGACTCCCATTCAGAAAAGAAACATTTGCAAACTCTTTGCAAGAGTAGAACTGGTTTTTCCTTCTCTTAGTTTTGTTCTGAGGTTCCACTGTGTTGAGAAGGACTTGCACAGGGCTTCTGGTTCCATGGAGGAAAGAGAGGGATATGTGTGGAAGTGTGTGTGTGAGCTTGTGGAGACACATGTCTCCTTTTGATGAGACTTCAAGTAAGTAGTTTACTCTATGTGGGAAGAGCATTAATGATCAGATGATGACAAATATGTACAGTATACATGGGGGTTTCTCTTCCCTTTATAAGAGCCAGGGAAAAGACTTCTCAAGGTCAGTGGCTCTAGCAGATACTTCTAAAGCACCCATATAGTGAATTCTAAAGGCAAGAACTGTATCCCACTTAAATTAGAACCCCTGAGCCTGGAACATCTCAAGAAAGCACCTTGTAAGCTTAGAAGCCTCTGTTGGTGCTGTGAATAATTCATGGAAAGAAGCTATGATCACAAAGGCTGAAGAACTGATAGAACTTCAATGATGTGGAGAGGTTGAAATCAAGTCAAATTCGGGCATCTTTAGCTCCCCTAATAGCCATTTGCTGCCCTCCTCCACACCTGACCTAACATCTTTGTGACCATTAATTAAGTCATTTGGAATACATAAACAGGCTGCTAGTTTCAAACCAACATAAGGGCCAAGCATGCTGTCAGACAGTATCTAAAGCCTGTAGCATAACTGTATCCTCCTCCCTTGCTGTGACCCGTCTACCTGATGTTTCCACCAATGTATTTGAAAGTATGCTGTTTTATAATTTTCTTTGTTTTGTTACCATATAAACTTCATGAAATTGCTATCACATTAGAATATGGTATTTGAGGAGACCCAAATCTGTGTTTCTGGGCTATTGTCATTCACATTTGGCTCCCGAATAAACCACTTCTTTTATCCCTTTGAGGTGAGGGCAGTTTCTTTTGTGACCGTGTCCTTGGCCACTGTCTAGTAAGAAAGGGGGCTGCCATCAAGTAAAGTGTTCACAGAAATACCACTGGAGTGCAGCTTGCCCTGCAGGGAGGGTCAGTTGTAGGGATGCATGCCTTCCTATGAACCTCATGGTATCAGTGGCATCTGCTTCCTAAGCCTGCTTGGGGCTATCACAGTGCTTATAGGAGAGGGCCTAGGAGTTACTGTCTGCCTTCCACACTGGCACAGAAGAAACACATCAGATATGCCACAAGATACCTGTCAGTGGGACTCCAGACCACGCAGATGTCAACTGAGCTTCAGTGTTACCTTAGCATCATCACCATGGCTACACCTTAGCAGATGGAGCATTCACTCTGTGCTAAGTTCTAGATGCAGAGCTGATATTTTCAGGTGCTTTGCTCATTTAATCCTCCGGGGAGCAGCTCTTATTCAAAGGAGGAAACTGAGGCTCAGTCTTTAAACTTCAAGCCAGGGACATTTCATAACAGAAT